ATATATATATATATATACAAACATATACATAAAAAAAAAAACAAAATACAACCGAATTGCAAACACTAAAAATGAATAATACAAAACCGATATATATATATATTTGCCTTCGGTTTGTTGTCCTCTTCTCTCTTTCTGCCTACGGTTTACCGGGCAGTTCTGTTTTTGACGATATATATATATATATATATATATACATATATACATATATATATATATAGGGAAAAAACAGGCAAACATATACATCCGGAAAAAAAAAAAAAAACAAATTGCAAACACTGAAATCGAATATCGTCACAAACAGTTTGTCACATCCCCTCGTTTGTTGTCCTCTTCTTTCTCTCTGCCTACGGTTTAGCGGGCAGTTCTGTTTGTGACGATTTATATATATATATATATATATATATATATATATATATATATATTGTTTGTGGCGCCGTTTGAGACGGGCCGCGTTTGGACGCACTGCGAAATTTGAATCGAAAAAAATACAAAACAGAAAACAAAAAAGGGTTATCACGGGGACAATCACGTGAGACTATTCCATGCATGCGGAAACAAACGAAAGGATAAATACGAATACATAAACTTATAAGGAGATTGACAATAATGCTTGGACACACGGATAAATTGTCGAACCAAAATCTTTCATGCTTTGTATTACTTTTCTTCGTTCCGCATTCCCGAACAAAGGTTGTGATCCGTGAGGCCATGGCTCTGCATGTGCAGGTGCAGGTGCATTGGGGGTTTCCCGCGTCGCGCTGTCACCGCTATGTGGTTGAACATGGAACGCCAACACTCTCATGTGGGTGCGCCGACGTCGCCGAGTTCCCCGTTGCTTCCGACGCCTGCGGCGTTCGCATCGCCGTCCGCCGCATGCACCACCCCGGCAGGCTCTCCGTTGTACCACGACATTTCGCGTGGTCGTGGGTGAGGGATTTTGGATCCTCACGGACGTAGTAGAAGTGATGCTGTACTGGCGAGATCAGCGACCAGGCAGCGTTTGGACGAGAGGATGTGGGTCGTCCCATTTCCTCCTGTCGTGAGTTCGACATCCGTCACGCATACTCCTTTCCCGAGTCATCTGCGCAGTCTCATTACTGCAATTCCTCCTCTGCCAACGTTCTCCGGGAATCCGATGAAGTCTCCTTTTGCGCAATCCGCTGTAATTCCAATGCGCCCTCCTCTTTCGTCGCCTCTTGGGCTGCTCGCTGGGGTGTTGCCAACCCCAATTTTCGGAAGTGCTTCTGTTGATGGGGTTTGTCGCGGTCGTCCAGACCCCTCGCATGCCGCTTTCCATGGCGCGTCGTGTGTGCCTTCGTCCACATTACCTCGGCCACCGTTGTTGCGGTGCTCGCCCCCTGACAGCGCCGGTGGAGTTCCCGGTTTGGGTGTCATTGCGTCGACCCCCCTTCATGAGCCGGAAGAGGTGCAACCATTCAATGATAGACTGCGGCCACCGTCCTGCACTCCCGTCTCCACGGATCATGTACCTGATGGGGTTTCGCCGTATAACGATAGTGAAGCCGGGATGAGTTTCTCGCCTGCGTCGCACAGGGTCAGGTTCAGTACACCTCCGTCGGATAACAGTCATTGGGTGCGATGTAGACGTGATCAGCTGGTGCGCTTGAGTTCGATCGCAAGGGCAATGGGCAAGAAGTTGTCGTCCCTTGCTCGTAGCTCGGGAGACAATAGAAAAAAACATTGTTCTTATGAAAACGTGTTCGATCAACTCCTCGAGTGGAGTGCTAGCCGCGTCGATGACCTTCTTGCGGGGGGGGTCGGCGTCGACTGGCACTCCGCGGTCGCGAGGTGGTCGACCTCAAAGTAATGCTTTGAGATGGCGTGACGGCAAAGACGGATTTGCAGACAATGGTCCAATGTTTGAAAGGTTGACGGTAAGGGACCACATGGCCATGTGGGATGCACCTGCAAGACCTGATGTCGTGTTTCTTGAACCTGTGAAACTTTTGCAGATTCGCAGCATGTTCGAGAAAAGGTGTCCTCAACACAGGAAAGAGGTGGAGGTGACGATAGAGAAAATATCCTATCCTTGTCACATTTGCAAGTTGCAATTCGCTTGCGGGAATGGGTGCATTTGGCACTGGAATTCCGCGAAGGTTGTCAAAGGTGGTGTGAGAGATTCGAGGGTGGAGACACATGTGTTCCACTCCGCTGTGGCTGCGGGGATGACGCACACCCAACTGAACAACCTCTTGATGGGCCTCGGAATGAAGAAGGTCAGGAAAGAAACATTCTACAAATTTTTCCGTGATGAAGGCAAAGGTTCGAGACAATGGCTGCGACACGTGGAACGAGTTACACAAAGGATCTTCAACAAGGTCATCGCACGTTTGCGCAGATCTAACGATCCAGTTGTCGTATTGGTCGACGACCATTACAACTCGTCCCGTGACGCGCAACATTGTACGGTGACGGCGCTGGACTTGAAGTCTGGGATGATCGTGGGTACGGAGACGATGCTGAGGGGGGGCGAATCGTCGTGGAGGCTGGAAACGCAGTGCGTGGAGAAGCTCCTTCATCGATTGAAGGACGAACATAACCTCATAATTGCTGAGGTTGTGCATGACGACTACGGTGAGGTTGACGTCATCCTACGACGAATGAACATTGACTCGCAGAAGTGTATGTGGCACAAAGCCAAGACTTTGGTGAAACGCTTGCGAGAGGCAGTGCGTGCCACGAAGACTGTCAAGCCATCTGTGGTGGGAGCTTGCGAGCACGTTCGCGAGGTGAGGTGTTTCACAAAGAAGGAGCTCGAAGTGTGGCTCGAGACGAAGGGTGTGCTCGTGGCTGGGGCTGCCACGAAAAAGAAGGACGAGCTCGTGGAGATAGTGTGGGGTGTGTTGTTTCCCAACGAAGCAGGGAAGTCGTTGGAAGATGACGTTGTCGAGATCGACGCGTTGGAGGACTTGCATTGCAATGCGGCGGAGGAGGCGAAGGAATGGTTGTACGGTGCTTGCCAGATGCGCGGACGGGCGTGGGATGACGACGACGATGTGTTGGCCTCACATGTGCAACACCTGGCCGATCATTGGGCTGGGGATCACTCGATGTGAGACAAGGAGTTGTCGAACCTGTGTAAGGCGGCTGGCAATTCAGAGAGAGAGCCATTGTACGAGGCTGGGGGTTGGGTTCATGCCGCCGTTTCTCGATGTTTGCAGCAGTTCGCTTCCAACACGAAGATGGCATACTACACACGTGCGAGAATGACGTTCAACAACGAATGCTTCCACTCTGTGATCAACAAGTACTGCACGAAACGATTGAACTTCCCAAAGTCGTATGGGGCGCGGGTTTCTTGCACGGCACTGGAATGGAACAAGAACAAACGAATCAGGTCATCGCACACTACATTCCGCAAACCCACGAATGTCACCCATCGACGACGCTCTGCAAGACGTCACGTTTACCCCGGTCGCGTCACATCGTGCGATTCGACATTGCAACTAAAGTTTTTGGGAGTCCTCGGGTCGGTGACTGGGCCCGTAACGTGTTGCATCAATCGGACGTCGACGACCCGGTTGTTGAGCATGTTGATGTTGATGCTGATTTCGGACTGCCGGTTGCTGGTGAGAGCGTAGCCCGGGGTGACGATGGTCAAGGTGCCGACATTTTGTTCGAGTCTACGAGCGACGATGACTCGGATGATGAGAAGTCACCATCGGATTCTGAATGCGAAGGTGCCGCTCAGCGCCTCGACTTTGACGGCGCCATGTTATCGCAGGAGGTGTCTGTTGTGCGGGAGTGATAGCGGCCGATAGTCTGTCGTGCGGGAGTGAGAGCGGCATTTGGTCGGGGAATGACATTGTAGTAATGTGCAATTTGCAGAGTCATTATACATAATTTATTTCAGGAGTTGCATTTTCCGATTTCCATTTTGTTGAAAGCGGCATTCCGTATTTCCGAAGTTGCTTTTGGTTCTGGAATGACATTGTCGTAATGTGCAATTTGCAGAGTCATTGGGCAGAAAATGAGTTTCCTTACATTGTTTGGAATGACATTGTCTGGAATTACATTGTCTACAATGACATTGTCGTAATGTGCAATTTGCAGAGTCAGCCGGCACACTAACTCGTTACATTGTCTGGAGAGAGAGAGAGAGAGAGAGAGAGAGAGAGAGAGAGAGAGAGAGAGAGAGAGAGAGAGAGAAATGATATGTACATATGTGGCCCCTTGACGAAATTGATACATGCAAAACAATATGAACGTCAGAGGAAGTCTCTCTCTCTCTCTCTCTCGAATTCCCTATACTCCGCAAACGAGTTCCACGCTGCGGCCAGTCGGTCATCTCGAACGAGCGTCTGCAGGAACTCATCCATCCTGTCGTCGTCGCAGGCGTATGTCACTGCAGTCAACGCCGAATCTCACACGATGGAATGAACTTGGCCGAGAAATCCTCGTTATTGCAAACAAAATATGGCGCAGTTACAACAAGTCGCCACACACCGTCCCGATATACAGTATCGTAGTGTGTTTCCAATATACGATACACAAGTGGGTAAACAATATCATACATTTTATCTCCTTCGACAGGACTGAGAATGAGGCTATTGAAGTACGTCGTGGGCCTGGACATGAGCACCCGAGTGTGGTCGATGGCATGATGATGAATATAAGTCTCTATTGTTAGTTTTATGACTCGTTCGTCTTCGACGGCGACAAAAAAATGTCGATCCTCCATTCTCCATTTTGTGTCTGTCTGTGTACTCCGACATCTCTTCAACAGGCTCTGTAAACGAATTTTGCGACGCGTAATAATAAACGTTATCCTCCGTGCGGAGTTTCGTAGAATGGTAGCATTGAAAAATCATTCGCGCCACCCGCATAGTCGTTGCTTGCGAATTGCGAGTCGATGAAGCTGCCAAAAACACAAAGCTTCACCGTCAGCAACAGAGCAACGGATTTGCAAAATGGAAGGTGGGAAACACAAGGTGTGTCTTCTTCTTCGATCAACACATCTTCTTCTTCTATTTCTTCTTCTTTTTCTTTTTCTTATTCTTCTTTTTCTTCTTCTTCTTCTTCTTGTTTTTCTTCTCTCGTCTCGTGATTCTGTGTGTGTGTGTGTGTGTGTGTGTGTGTGTGTGTGTGTGTGTGTGTGTGTGTTTGTGTGTGTGTGGGTGGGTGTTGGTCGAGGTGTGAATGTCGCTCCCGTTTTCGCTTAATAGTCTATACATATTTGTCGCACACACACACACACGCAGGTGGCAGACGACGTACGATAATAACCAATATATATATTACAGATCTGTATGTCACATCATATGCATTTGTGTGTGTGTGTATGTGTGTGTGTGTGTGTGAGAGAGAGAGAGAGAGAGAGAGAGAGAGAGAGAGAGAGAGAGGGTTGATAACATAATGCTAGAGATGATTCACGAATAATAGTAATGTTGTTCACCACATAT